AGCAAGTTGCTCATTACTTCGAATATGTGAAAAAGAGATCACCTTCTTCACCCATTCATTATGAACAAGAAGTTTCAGAGGACTTCAATATGTTTGCTATGTTCGTGGAACCTTGGGTTTTCAGTAATGTATATGGCAACTTGATTATCACAGTGGAGAGGAATGAGAGATGATATATTAATGTCTAAGTCTCATAGAAGACACCGTAACCATAAGACCTCATAAACAAGACTTACAATGACCATGTACTCAGCGTCTGCACTAGAGCGAACAATAACTGGTTGCTTCTTACTTTTGCAAGATACTAAATTTCCTCTAAGAAAAATAAAGTATCCATCAGCAGATCTTCTATCATCAGCAGATCCTGCACAATCCATATATGGACACCCTTGTAATCTAAGAGAATCACCATGTTTGAAGAGAAGACCTTAGCTAAGGGCTTTTTTGAGATATCGTAGAATCCTGGCGACTGCTTCCCAATGGGTGATGGTAGGAGCATGCATGAAGTGACTAACTTTGCTAACAACATATGCAATGTCTGGCCTGGTCACTGAAAGATATATGAGTTTTCCAACCAGTCTACGATATTGTCCAGGATCAAGAAATGGAGGATCGTTCATAAAAACAGACAACCAAGCACTGGAGTCTAGAGGTAAGTCATTGGGTCGACACTTAACATTTTTGTCTTGGTAAGAATATCAAGAACATATTTCGCTTGTGAAAAAAAGATAACATCTCCAGTGCGAGTGATCTCAATGCCAAGGAAATAACAAAGTGGACCAACATCTTCTATATGAAAAATATGTGATAGTTATTGCTTAATCTCTCCAATACCCTGTGCACTGCCAATGATAATGATGTCATCTACATGCACCAATAAGATCACAATGCCATTACTTCCCCTTTTTGTGAAAAGATAGTGATCTGTTTTACTTCTATAGAAGCCATGTGAGCGGACTACCTTTCCAAACTTCTCAAACCAGGCTCAAGGGGATTGCTCAAGTCTACAGAAGGACTTTTTGATCAAACACACTAGATTCTCCCATTGCCGCTCAATACCAAGTCGTTGCTGCATATATACCACCTCATTTAAGTTTTATTAAGAAATGAATTCTTGACATGTAGTTGATGAAGTGGCCATTATCGACTTGATGCATTGGAGATCAGTACCCGTATAGATGTGAGGTTGACGACTCGAGAAAATGTCGCGGTATAATCAACTTCATACTACTGAATATAGCCCTTAGCTACCAAACGAGCTTTGAGGTGCTCAGCTGTAGCATTTGGAGTGTACTTCACTGTGCATACCCAACGACAACTAACTACCATGTATGATTTTGCCAAAGAGCTTGCATTTTATCTTCCATTGCTGCTTTCCAACTAGGATGCTCGAGAGCATCTTGAACATGTAATGGAATCCGAAGAGGAGGTAAAAACATGAAAGGATCTACTCAGTTTGTAAGAGGAAACAAACTTGGCAATAGGATGGTGAGTGCAAGTGCGTTTTGCTTTAAGAAGGGTAATAGGATTATCAATTTTTTTAACGAATATTACTAACCGAAGAAGATGAGATGCTTGAAGGAACAATATGAATAATATCTTGAATAGTCCAATTAGTGTTACCCTTTCGTTTTCCCACATACACTTGAAGTAGTTTCTTTGATGGGAAATACAATATCTCTACAATGGCCCTTAGTAGATCAGAAAATGTTTGAATATGATGATTTTTTTTGGCTCAAAAAAAGATTTATTTTTAAAAATGATACATCTGCTGAGGTAAACATTTGCTTAGTTTCAGGAGAATAGCAAATATGCCCTTTTGAAAATCGTGAATAACTGAGAGAGACACATTTAATAGTTCTTGGGTCTAATTTATTCGTGCCTGGTCCAAGAGCTTGGGCAAAGCACGTATAATCAAAGACACGTGTTGGAATAGGAAAGGCCTCCCGATGTGGAAAAACAAGACTGAAGAGTGAGACATGGTCAAGAACAGAGCTTGACATACGATTGATAAAAAAAAGCAATGAGTATAGCAAAACTGCAATAAAGTTTGGGAACCTTCATTTCAGACATTAAAGATCTAGCAGTGTTAAATGTTGATTCTTGCACTCTGCTACCCTATTTTGTTATGGAGTATAGGCACGCGAAGCTTGATGAATAATCCCGTGTGTGGAGAAAAGTTACTGAAAATCCCTACTTATGTATTCTTTTGCATTGTGAAATTGTTTCAGAGTAATATCAAATTGAGTTTTTATTTCATTAAAAAATTTAGTGAACACTTTAAACAACTCAGAACAATCCTTTAATAGAAAAATCCATGTCATGCTAGAAAAACCATCAATAAACGTAACAAAGTAATGATATTTATTAAATTTAGAAAACTTCACCGGTCCCCAACCATTAGAATGAGCTAAATCAAACAAATTTTTACTACGTTTATTTACACACTTTGGATATGAAATCCTACGATGTTTACCTAACTCACAAGACTCGCAGGAGAAATTAAAACTTGACTCACAACTGGGTACCAGGTGCCAAAGAGTGCTTGAAGAAGGATGTCCCATATGTCGATGGCACAACTTAGGATCTGTAGAACTAAAGGCATACACGGAGTCTGGACTATCCAAAAGGTATAACCCATATTGTTCACGACCTACTCCAATCACCTTCCTCGTCGTAATATCCTGAAAAACACAATGAGAAGGAAAGAATGCCGCTGGTTAGTTTAAGTCATTGCAAACTATATGAACTGATAAGATACTATTTGCAAAGGTAGGAACTTATAATACAAATGTGAGAGAGAGATCATGTGTGAGAGTAATATTTCCTACCCCTTCAACAGGAATAGATGAACCATCAGCAGCACGCACGTGGAAGTTATGAAGTGCAAAAAATGATGAAAGAGATAAAGGAGACATGTTTAGAAGCACATGAATCGATAATTTAGTTATGAGATGGAACATGACAAGCATTACATGATTGAACTAGTTACCATAAGATCTAGATAATAGCTGTTGGAAGGCTTATCAATTCTTCGGTAGAAAGCATAACCTAAGAAGAAGAAGTCATATCCGGTGGTGCTACAGTAGATGTTGAGGTATGATCTACAGAGGAAGATTGATGAACCATAAGCGGTCGTCCCAAAGGTTTCCAGCAGGTCTCAAACCATGATTGATACTATGACAATAGGTACAATATTTGTTGTTGCGCCATCCATCACTATGACCTCCACCACGATCACCATGACCTCGAGACAGATAAGGGGGACATCCACCAGTGGAGAACTGTCATGTGTATCCTTCAAAGCTACTGCAATCTTTGCTAGATGCAAGTGCTGACGGATCCACGGAATCAAAGACAACAGTGTAGTAATTCAAGGAAGTTGAGTATGAAGGTTAAGCAAAGGACTCTGATGAGTCTCCATAATATGAGACCGAACACCATCAAGATACGAACAAGCGTTTCCAAGAGCAAGAGCTGATAAGAGAGCTTCTTGTTGCTTTTGTTGTATAGCTGGGTTAGGAGAGTACGACTGATAAATCTTCTACTCTTCTAGATATTAAGTAAATTTCGAGAGATAGGCATGTATATCATCACCCTGCTTGGTCTCAACAGTCTCTTAAAATATGTCATACAATCTCTGCATTTTATTAGCAGAGGAGAATATCTGATGGAAAGAATCCCAAATAGCCTTGGCGGTATCAAGAAATTCAACTCACTAATAGACTGGCTTATCCATAGAGTTTGTCATCAAGTTGATAATTAAGGCATCATTACAATCCCATTTTGCGAACTTTGGATCCTTCGAATCCGGAGGAGCATCGGTGGTATGATTTTGCATCTCCTTCCATTTGAGGAAGCAAGTAACAGAACGAGGCCATGTCATACAATTATTAGCATTTATAAGAATTTCTATAGTGATTTGTTGAGTTTGAGCCTTCAAATTTGAAAGAACAGAAGAAGGAGTCGTCATTGAGGAGGAAGGGGCTATCTTTGGAGAAGTAAAAGAAAGGGACAATCACCGAGCAAAGAGATTCAGAAGAGGTGAATAGAGAGTGACTATATCTAGGAGCTCATGAAAAAGAAAAGGAGGGGGAGGGCGGTGGCGGGGGACAGATGTGGTTGGGTTTAGGGTTTAAAAGAAAGAAGAAATTTGGGTGGTGGCTTTGATACCATGATGAAGATCAGCGGGAAAGATTTCATTAATATTATTAAAGAAGCCAAAGGGACTATTTATAAAGACCGGGAATTCCAGATTCAATGAATCTGGACCTCTACTTTTCCATAGCTAGCAAAACCTTGTTGATAAATAGATAACTGACGATTATATCAACTTGATCTTATAGATACTCTGCAATCTCTTTTGGAACTTCGTTAACATTCCCCAACACCTTAATGCCTAGTCACTAGTCTTGCCACTTTCTTTTGGTTAGTAACATTGAAGGAGTCTGATATGACAAACTACCATGCAAGAAGATAGAAACCACAGTTTAGGGGGTATATATTGTGTCACATGAACTGTAACCTGTTTCATGTTGTTTTTAAACTATGTTTTTCCTTTGAAATGTGTGTTAGCTTGTGAGGTCTTCTTTCTTAAAAGCTTTGCTTTTGGATCACGTCGAAAGAAAAATTACCAATGTTACAAAGAAAACATAGCACATCCATATTCCCCTTGTGCTTTTAGATATTGTAAAAAGGCATTCAATGCAGAAAAGATTTGCTTGTAAAGGTAGTAAATGGAACAATTGTTGAATGAGTTTGACGAGGTTTGAACCCAGGCTTCTTAAAACCTATTTCTTGTGATATCAAAGCTTATTTTGGGCCAGTGATTTATGGCAATTGTAATATCTCTGAAGTCTTGCATGTATTGCTAGTTTCTTAATTAAGACAGGGCAATTGTAGTACCTTCTTCGAAGGTTTGTAGCAAGCATTAACTTAATACGCTATTTTATTTTATGTTTTTTTCTTATATAATTCTTTCAGCCTTTTATTTTCTGATGGTTTTCTTTCCCAATTAGGATTCTAGCACCTTTGAGTACACATCAATGAAAAGTTTAAACGAGTCCAAATATGGATTTTGGGGAGTCCTAGCTAGAAAAGCTAAATCACTTGTTGAGGATGATAATGCATCTCAGAGTTTCAAAAACTTCGGTAGAAAGCAGCCCCAGATGTTTGACACAAAGACGGGTGATGAGGTGAGATTTGTGTTATATAGCATTATATTTTTATGGTCATTTCACTTATAATATAATTTGAATCTTCTGTTACGGATTCTTGTCATCTCTTATTTTGATATTTAAGATAGTTGATTCTTGCACTCCACTGTTACCTTGTTCACAGAAGTCGCGATGCTGCATCTTTCCTTTTGATGAAAGAGATTTTCTATTACCTTTTTTTATTTTATTGTTAATCTTATTGCATTCTATCTTTCTGTCTACTTACTAGCGAGTTATCGGTACAACCATTCTTCCCATGTTGAACACTCCAGTTATAGCCTACTACATTCCTCTAGATTCAGTTTTCTGTATTGGTTATGTGCTTTGTGTGGTGAGCTACTCCATGTTGACAATTCGTAGGGGTGCATTCGGTCCGGATATGGTTCGGATATGATACTCACCGTTTTTATATCCGCTTACCCATCTCGGATAGGGACAGATTCGGATGCAGATGTACCTCGGTAAGGAAAATCATATCCATATCCGCTAAATTTGGATACGGATATACAAGCGGATATATAAGCGGATATGCATGTAGATACAAAACGGATATGAGAAATCTAGACAGTATTGAAAAAAATATAGTTTAGGTGACGCAAAAGAGTTCATTAATATGTGCATTATATCTGAAAAAGTTAAGCTTGATCATCAAAATTAACTTCAAATTCATAATCTCAGGATTAAAACTATGATGACAATATGACTAATATGTATCCAAATATTTCGGATACGGATCCAGATATTTCACTACAAAACCATATCTGTAACCATATCCTATCAGTTATACACTTATACATTTGAGTAACCATATGCATATCCTAACTGATACGGTTACGGATATTTCCTTGGATGCGGATACGGTTTAGCACCCCTACAAGTGCGTCATCACTGGTTCAGAGCTTTTGTACGTGTAAATTAATTTTAATTTTAATGTTATTTTATTTTAATTTTGATTTCAGTTAATTCTATCGCAAGCTTATCAGAATTTCTTTCTTGATTGTTGCCTATACAAATTTGGCTTACCTGCTGTGTAGTTATTAGACTTATTCCTTCATCCATAAATTTTCAGAAGCGCGATGAGAAACCAAATCTTTCTTAAATTTGTTTGCTAATTGCAGTTTTCACAATCCTATCAGTCAGCTGAGGGATCACAGAAGGCTGAAGCTCTACCCTCTCAGAGAAGTCCAGATTCATTAGCTTCTTCGCTTAATCATATCGGTGGTACAATAAAAAATAAATTCGAAGTAAGTTAGAAGTGATTGTTTCCTGTGTTTACAATTTTCTCTATTTCAAGTTATAGCGTATCATTTGTAAACAGTTTAAAGAATTCTGAAACTTATCCACATGTCATTAAACCATTTTCAGTAACAACCTTTGCACTGTTAGTTGCCTTTTTCTCCAGAACTTTATCAGATATCCTATTTTCTGTTTTTGATGCTTAACAGATTGCTTAATATTCTTTAAATTATGACTATTTACATCTTAATATCCTCAGGAGGGTCTGACAATTATGGAGAATAGGACTGCTGATATTATCCAAGAAACACGCAAACTTAATATCAGGAGAAAAGGAAGTGGCCCTGGACAGAACCAGGCTACAGATACCTCAGCTCAGCATTTCACTTCCATTCATGCAGACCATGAGACTCAATTGAAGGCATCACGCGACGTAAGGTGGCAAATGTTTATCACTGGATTACATATACTTTTTTGAAACATGTCAGTATGCTTTCCTTTGTCGAAATTGTTCCCTTGGGTTACACCAAATTGCATATCATTGTCCTACAAATTTTATTTGTATGGTTATGGAGAGTGGATTGGTGTTTCTAATTAGGAACCAAGGTGTCAGTATTTCTGAAATCAACATGACGAAATATTCAGAAATATTTAGTACTAAATGAGGTTCGTTTATCCAAATTCTCATCAATACTTTTATAGTATGTTGCTTTATCTCACTTTAAGGATGGTGAAAGCTTTCATGTCTAATTTCATAAAGAATATTTCAAGTACCTGTGAGCCTATGTTAATTAGGCGAGTTTTCAGTTTCCCCCCTTTACCTTGTGATGTACATATGTAGCAAACCACCTTCAGACTGAAGCTTTTTGTTGTTACAATGAGTAAATTGTCTTCTTGTGTGTACAGGTTGCAAATGCCATGGCTGCCAAGGCTAAGGTTCTTTTGCGGGAATTGAAAACTATCAAAGCAGACCTTGCTTTTGCAAAGGAGCGATGCGCTCAACTTGAAGAAGAGAACAAGATGTTGAGGGAGAATCACGAGAAGGGAGCTGGTCCTGAAGATGATGATTTGGTACGTACGTTACCATGTGCCATAATTTCAGCCAAAGTTATTTCATATCTCCAAACATTCTGCTTGATTTATTTATTTTGGTATTTTTTTTCTTTATGTTCTTCTTAAATAAAAAGTTATGATCATAACGGTAGCAAACCGGATAAATTTCCTTTGTAATAACTTATCGAATAGCAGTGACATTTATCAACCTTTTTCCAGTTTTGAGAAAGTCAGAAATATTATGATTCCAAAGAAGTTTGTAGGCTGTATAATTGCATCGGTGGTAGCCAGGCTAGTTCATTTTGAGTACATATACAAGAGATAATGGTGATCCTCCATCCCAATGGAAAAGATAGTTCAATAAATCAGATGTCTGAAGGATTCAACTCCGTACATTGATCCTGGATGTGCTTATTGCAGATGATGCTGTAGTTTCATATTTGCATATTAATATTTTTCAAGAAGGTAGTTTATACTGGAGTTTGCAGAATAAAAGGGTCAAAATAATAGTTCAATCGTGTTGTATCAGGAAAGTGCAAAACTTGATGTGTGTCAATTGAATAAGTAAGAGAGAAGTTTAGTTAGGCTATTTACAGATGATGCTGTAGTTTCATTGACAAGGAGGCTTCCAGTCGCTTCCTATTTATTGATTTATATTTATTAATTCAACATGATGTTGGTTTAAATAATTGGAGTGAACCATAGTCTCATGCCATACTAGCAACACTGTAGGATTAAATTACTATAGACTCCATTAACTCATTTAACGCATAGTTTTTAAGAAGATCTCAAATTCTTTTTAAAAATTGATCTGTGATCAGGTCAAGTAAGCTAGGTGTATCAAAAAGCCCATCTATTTTCATTAAAGTTCAGTTTAATGTGAATTTTACTTTTTTAAGCTGAAAAGATCATAATGAGCCTATTAGTAATCCTAGGTTCGTGAGGCTCCAAGGTTGGTGGCCTTGCATTCACTTTAAATAATATAAATTTAATATATACACAGAACTATGTGTTAGTGAAATGGTTTAGAGAGTATTAGTGGCTTTGGTGTCGTAACAAAGGAGCAAATTTAAATTTTTTATTGTTGTTTTCTTCTCAGATACGACTGCAGCTAGAAACATTATTGGCTGAAAAAGGGCGGCTGGCACACGAGAACTCAGTCTATGCTAGAGAGAATCGATTCTTGAGGGAGATAGTGGAATATCACCAGCTAACGATGCAGGATGTCGTGTATGTCGATGAAGGGATCGAAGAGGTCACAGAAGTTTTCTCCAACAGTGCCGACCAAATCCTATCAAGAAGCAGTTCCGTGTCGAACTCATTTAAGGGGATTGATGAAGTCACGGAGGTCTTTTCCAACAATCCCAACCAAATTATGTCGCGGACCAGTTCCATCTCCAACTCATTTAATGGTGCTTCGGCCTCTTTTGAACATTCATCACCCGCTGTTTCTGTTCCTTCTACGTCTACTCCTACGAAACCTTCGTCGATCGTTGTACCTGAAGCTTGCCCAGTTGTCCCGATGCCTCCTACACCTTCACCTCGTGTTACTACAGGCGGCGTTTCTGAGGAAGAAGATGATGGAAATCGACAATATCAGCAATATGTTTGATCAGTGGACCGGCATTTTTATCTATTGGGCGTGGCCTGGATTGTTCTTGTTTGCAAAAGTTTGCCCGGTTGTTATTTTTGTGCGTTGTGTATCATGTGACTTGGTTTGAGCCTGCTGTGTATTATGAGTTGGTGGAATTTGTTTTCATCATTGTTTGTTGATATTGGTGTATGTACAAATATGTGTATTTGATGAGTTGGTTATGTACTCCACATTCTTTCATGCGTGAGCGTTGAAATATCAAGTCGAGAGTTTGTATTTGATGTGTTGATGATTTAGCTTTCATGTTCTTATGCGTTAAAAGGTTAATACACTTGCCCTACCTCAAGTATACCTAGTAAATCCCAGTGACAAACATCCCTACACATTCACAAACATGGAATGATGACATTATGAGCTTCTCAAAATTATTCAAGTGGATGGTGTTTATAACCCATCTTTGTTTTTGGGTTAATCGTTAGACGAGCAATTTTGATCTACAATTAAATTGAGAAAAAAAAAACTATGTAAGACTAGCTCCAGCAGGTGGTTTTTTGGGTGGTGAAATAGAAAATCGGAGTCAAAGGGGTAAATATTTCACCATTGATTTTTCTGACCGCGTGGGTCCCGCGAAAAAAGCATGCAGCTGTATTTAAAAAAAAATTAAAGACGCCTACCAATCAGAACGCGACATGTGGCGAAGTTGCAGGAGCTGTTGGGCCAAACTTGCACACGCGCGTGTGTTCAATGTGATCAGCCCATGCATCAAGCCATGTGTCAAGGCTTGATTGGTTGGCGTTTTTTGTTTTACTCCTAATTTTTAAATGATATTTTGGGAGATAAATACTAGAAATTAATTTATAATTTTTATAGCAATAATTTTTATTTTTTGACCTCTATAAATAGAGATTAGTCTTGTGTAATTTGGACACCAAAAAAAATCTGAGTTTTCAACACCTTATACTCCTTCTCTTTGCTTTTGCTTCTATATTCTTTAAACTTTTTCAAATGGATCATTCACAAAATTATCCTAATTTCTCCTACAACTTTCCTAACCAGCCTCAAAATACCAACCCTCAAAATCCAAATATGCAAGCCCCGAAAAATACTCAAAATGCTGGTATGCAACCCAATTTTCAAATGTCGTATATGATGCCACCAAATTTTGGCATGCAATACCCTTATCTTCCTTACGGTTATCATCCAGCTACGGGAAGCAGCTATGTTCCATCCCATATGAATTTCCCTACCACGGAGTCGATTGAGCCACCGACACCCCGGTTCAGTAGCGAATCTACAGAAATCCCGGATTTTCCACCCAGATCTCTTTGGGAAATGTTGGTGGGGATACTCCTCATAGTTTTCTACCTCCAACCCAACAACCAACAAAGAGATCAAGTTACGATAGTTGGAGCACAGAAGACAACATAATTCTGCTAACTACTTATTTTCACGCTAGTAATGATAGTGAGCTGGGGAACAACCAAAAAGGTGAAACTTTCTGGGGTAAAATTACACAGTATGTGAATGAGAATGGCAAGAGTGGAAAAGAGAGGATCATAGCTCGGTGCCAGAGTCATTACAAAGACATCAACAGAAAAATTTCCAGTTTCATTGGCTGTTACAGTACTGCATGTAGGGAGAAGCAAAGTGGTTGGTCTGATGAAAACTACATATCCAAAGGCAGGGAGTTGTACTTTGAGAAAATGGGTACATCGTTTAATTTGGTGGATGAGTGGAAGGTTGTTCGCAATCAACCAAAATATATGCCAGGAGTAGCAGTATCGGGTAGTAGCGGTTCGAAAAGAAAGAGTAGTAGTGAAGATGTTGAATCCTCCGCTCCTACCCTCGTATGTCCTGAGGGTAGGGACACGACAAAGAAGAAAGCTAGAGCTTCGTCCAGTAAACCAAGGAAATCGAAGCTCGAACTTCAGGATGAGTTATCCAATATAGTCACCTCTCATGAAAAGACGGAAGCGAAAAGAGCAAGTACTTTGAAAAGACGAAGGGTTGAATTGACCACTCTATGCAATTAAAGACAAGGCATGAATTGACAACTCTCTGTAATTAAAGACAAAGGGTTGAATTGACAAGTCTCTGCAATTAAAGACAGGGCATGAATTGACAACTCCCTGCAATTAAAGACAAAGGGTTGAATTGACCACTCTATGCAATTAAAGACAAGGCATGAATTGACAACTCTCTGTAATTAAAGACAAATGGTTGAATTGACAAGTCTCTGCAATTAAAGACAAGGCATGAATTGACAACTCCCACAAAGGGTTGAATTGACCACTCTATGCAATTAAAGACAATGCATGTATTGACAACTCTCTGTAATTAAAGACAAGGGTTGAATTGACAACTCTCTGGTATGAATTGACCACTCTATGCAATTAAAGACAAAGAATGCATGTCATACGCCACATGTCGTTGCAATTGCATGTTTTTGAACAAATGTTTTCATTATAAATGCTGACCAAATGCACAACTTGAAGTATATTTATCAACATTTTTTCTACATACCCTCCAATGGATCCAAACCTAAATGAATTCAATCTCGAATACTTCCAACAAGAATGGGAGTTAGAAAAGTATTTTGAAGTTTCGATATTTTGAAGTTCTATGACATAAATTACTTTTTTATACGGTTTGAAAACCGTCAATTTTGATAGTTGAAAAGTATTAGTAAAACCCTGATCTTGTGTTACACAAATCAAGATGGACCATCCACAACATTCGATAAACTATCGAGTTAGCTCAGTTGTTATGAATTTGCTAAAGTTCACATCCACCAAAGTCATGTCCATAAACTGTACAATACGAATCTGAGGTTACAAAGTACAGTTATTTGCATATATACCCCTTAAATCATGGGTATTTGCAAATACCCTCTAAATCTCAATATTTGCAAAACTACCATTCAAATCATCAATTATCTTTAAAAAACCTCAAAGCAATTAAGCATAAACTTTGATAAGTTAATTTATAATTACGTACAATATAAAAATTATTAACAAAATAGTTAAATTTTTAATACTAAGTTGATGATTTATTGATTTTAGGGGTATTTTTTTTTCACAAAGTTGATGATTTGAGCGATAGTTTTGCAAATCTTAAGATTTGCGGGGTATGTTGCTAATACATGATTTAAGGGATACATCTATACATGCAAACAAAAACCAAAAAGGTATCTTCCCTCGAAATTTTGCACATCGACCGTTTGCTGCTGCTTTGGAGATGAACATTCTAGTTGGGTAACAGCAGATACACATCCTGCACACAGAAGATTAAAAACTTAAAAACTTCTTACTATTAATTTTTTTAATTACGGCTTAAATGTATCTTTGGTTAGAAGGTATTGTTAAAACAAATGTAGTTTTACCCGAATGTTTTTACAACTCAAGGTGTTGCATCCATATGTAGTTGCAATTTCATGTTATTGCAGCACACTGAAATTTGAGTGCGGGTGTAACACCCTCATTTTTGATATATTTTCATGTTGCACAATAATTTCGTGTAGCAATTACATCAAACCAAATAGTTATACATATAGTTGAGATCAATACATGCCTATAATGTTGTAACTACATTTATAGTTCCAACATCTCGAAATCAAACACATTAATATCCAAACACGCAGTATCGCACCCTTATCCCCACCATAGAGCATATGTTCAACACCTATAGAGAATAAAGGGTATTCCTGCAACACAGTGAAATATCAGAAACATCATGTCATATGAACATGGTGGCTAAGATAAATCAATTTTAGGATGGGGGATCAAAACACTAATTAAAAATGTATCACCCGCTGTGGTATAAGGTTACATCTGCAATTAACCCTGCTATATAACATTACCATGAAAAGTGCTATCTTACATATTTTTTTTATAATAAACTGTTTGTGCAACTTTTTTCCATGAAAAATTTCCCAAATCATGGGCCTATAGATTGACAATAGGATTATGAAGACATCCTTCCGTTCCCTAGGGAACCAACTTCCAGCAGAAAACTGTGAAAAAATAGGCCATGAATATACCAGTCAAAATAACCATGAGTACAGGAGATGAACCGAAGCCTTCACTTTCTCTTTTGAGGTAACTTGGTATGTTTTGCTTGAAGCAGATTTAAAATAACTGGAAGAAGAGGCTGGTTGAGCCATCACCAAAAGATCTGAGATCAGCTGGCTTTACTAAAGCTCTGCATAACGGACATGTACGTTCTCTCTCAAACCTGAAAATTCACCGCGTTTAATTCAGCCAAAGCTGTCTTTCTTCTTTTTCTTTTTCCTTACTTAAAGATTAAATAACAAAAACTGGAAGCAATTTCTTGTTGAATTTCAAAAATGAAGAATAAAATAAACGCAAAAGAAACACAGGGATATTACCATTCTGAGACACAGTCTTCACAAAATATATGCTTACAACGAAGCAAGATGGGAGTATGCATCTTCTCCTGGCAGATAGCACACATATCACCGGCGGCTATAACCTGAATAAATTACAAACACAGGTTTTAAAGTTTACGACAAAGATATGAGTTGAGGAGAAATAATAAATAAGTAAATATAATAAAGGTGCAGGATGCATAAGGAAGCAATATTTTAGAAAGTATAGCTAGAGAAGGAACGGTCAGCATGGAGATGTAGCCTCAGCAATGTAAATTCGTAAGTAAAGTGAACGTCAAATGCCTGTCGTCGTAGAATATATGAAATCCATAATCAAAGAAGGAGAAGAATGAGGTTAAATTCTTTCAAAACTGAAGAGAATGGAGAGTGGTCATCTTTCTCGTGCCTGCACAACACAAACTCCATCGACATGGGGCTTAGGAGGGTCAGGCTTACATTGGACACTTGATTGGAACAAAACAGATTCATCTGAAAAGGATTTTTTTTTTAAAATATACGAGTTATTATATAGTTGTGTACATGTATGCTAGTCTAATTATAAAAATAACCAAGGTGAAATACTCAAGAAATATTTGTCTGTCTACCAACTTACTTTTCTCAAGAAATTGAAGTTCTAATATGTATCTACTGGGGGTATATTTTGCACCTTACAAATAAACCATCTTGATTTTCATTTATTTATTTATTTATTTATTTTTATTTTTTAGGGAAAAAACCCGTGCCATCTTGCCTCTTTCTGCTAGTTTCATTAGCAGTGATGAAAAAAGCCAAACCAATTAGCAAGAGAAAATTAAAAGGTTGTGAAGATCTCGGTTGTTGATATCATCATCACAAATCACTATTGTTCAATAATTATGTGTTCTAGATTATGGATTATGGGAGGTCCCATGTTTTCCAGTAGCATAACTTCAATCCAAGAAAACTGTATACAAAACTAATTTGGGTTAACACAGCCACAGCCACACCCACAACCACATACACACACGCGCACATTCACGTGCATGTCTAGAGAACGGTTAAGTCTGTGTTGGCTAGTGTGTTGTTTACGTGACACATATACAGACCACTACAATTCAGAGCATCAACAAATCCATTAATGGCACATGTGTGCACTGCATGTACGCACACACTGTATGTGCGTGCGTGCACACAAACAAACACAGAGTGCGTGTTACATATTTTAAAGTAAGGAATCAGAAGGAACATTTTACCTGCTCTGTTGTGGCATGTGACCCATAGTTCACCTCTTTACGTGACAATGCCTTCAATGCTGCAAGGAACGACTGAACCTGGAATCCAAAAGCTTAAAATAAGATTAAGAACTGAACCTATTGATAGGTATCCACAATTACGTAACAAGATTAAGTCAGGAATTTTTTTCCCCTCCAAAAGCATTGAAAAATTATACCTTCTCAACAACTGAAGTCAGCTTGAAGGTTAGGTATAACCCAGTAGTGAGAGATGAGAAGAGGCTCCCATATTCCTTGTTAAGGAAGAACCGGTACCAAACAGGTGCTGGCAATAATGCTCGATACAGGAGAAGTAGATACTCCACAAGAGTTAGCATTTGACCCTGATAGTATGGAGAAGGTATTATTTAAATGCAACATTAATAACTTCAAAAGAAAATCTATTTAAGTTTTTCAATGAATATGAAATTTAAAATAGATATGATAATATGGGAACATGCAAATCGAAGTCCTAACTGTATATACCACATAATTATGTCACTTGACAACTTTTGTTGGAAAGCAAGGAGTCCTTGCAAATGAGAAAAATCCTAAATCAAATGAAGGCAGCTCAAGGAATTAAAGTTACTGAATACACAAGGAAGCACCATAAATGCACGCTCGTACAAAAATGAAGCATGTAGAAACTTTAACTTAGGTTGGTGTTTATTTCCTCTTGAAGAATGAATATGTTTCATCAGCCAAATGAGAATGCATAAACTTATCTACCAAAAATTAGATCTTCTGACGTGCCCAGACACAAAAGTTATGTCCAACCATTTCCACCAGTTACATACTTTTATAGATACTACTGATAATGGAATGTAAATTTTCTATACTTTGACTACCTAATTTTACAGTAGAAAGATTTCAAAGAAAAATATGTGCAGTCAAGGACCTATTAAAATGAATATAATAAATAATTAAAAAAGGCACTAGTTCCCTCATTAGGTTTATGAACAAGCAGAAATCCTCAATGTTATCTGATCCATTATATCATATTTAGCACTTACTAAGATTTACTATTGCCTTATTTCTGATGTAGGTGACACTTAGACAAATATAGAAATGTAGAACAGCGAACTACCTGCTTACGATAGTTCCTGCCCCTACTGTTCTTGTAGTACATCAGCAGCATACACTTGACAATCATTGCTGCCTGGCGTACCAGGGTATCTGCATAGAAATAGATAGTAAGGCATTACCAGAGTACATAAACAATCTGTACATTTACTAATGAATATAAATAAGCTAGTTACATCAACCAGCTCAGAAAGGCTAAAAGCTTTCTTTTAGAATTTTACTTAAGGAATAGTTGGTAAATAAAATATTAAATCTTTTAAGAAATAGAAAAACATTGCTCAGACAAAGGTTAGGAGTTCACTAAAAAGCTGACCCTACAATGACAGAAGCTATTAACTGGTAACTGGCCAAAAACTAATGATTAAAAGACGAGCACAATTTTGATCCTATTGGGAAACAGCATGGAGTTAGCGGGTATAACTCAACCATAGGACTGTAATGGACAAATCTGTGTGATCTGTTTAATAAACAGGTCAGGTTAGGATCTGGCCAGATATTACCCTTAAATATTTGTGCATCAATTCATACACAAAAGTGAACAGAATGTTTAGCTCAATTTGTCCATGTTGTTTGCTAGAGATCCTAGCATCGGTTTGAATCCACAAGCTTAAAAAAAAACAGATATTATGTTAACGACATTCCTTGAGCATGAGGGAGTCGCAGACTGGTGGAAACGTTTTTAAATTCAACTCCAAGGCCCATATTTTTTTGTCAGAGAAATCTCAAGAAATCTCAAGAAATCTCAATAATTTGATTACACTGGCTGGTACAGATCAGTTGAAATTACCTGTTTATTAAACAGGTGAGGTGGGTTAGGTGATTGGACCTGATCCTTGCACCACTAAGAAAAAGTTCACAGTCATAACGAAGAGCTGGTGAAAGCCCCAGAAAAACTGATTCAAATTTTGATCTTTAAAAAAAAGGAGAGCGAAAGTGTATTAAAGGTGGATGAAGAATTGCATCACAGATCCTAATATACACCGATTATTACGATTGAGATCTTTAAAACAATTGTTCCCTATTATTGATAAATATTCTACATTACCAAACAATGGTATGTAAACTTTAATGTGAATTATTGACTTTGATGAACAACGAGAAAATTTTAAGCAAGATTTGTGTATCGGCTAGAGACCCCCTATAACAATTCAGAAAGGCGAGGTGATTCCATTTGATTATTGGGCTTATATTTGTGTCTTAAAAGATGTATATGACCCTCTAGAAAATCTTATCGTCTAGCTTCTTGGTCTAGCCTATTTAATGATCTAGGATGACACGAATGATTGCTAGTTGCACAAGCTCAAACTGCAGGGCTATTAGTGTAGATTTACCTGCCAGCATATTTGACTTAAATTTGTGCTTCAAAGATTAATATGATCCTAAATCACATTATCATCTAGATTCTTAATATAGACTCTTTAATAATCTTGGATGACATGAATGTTGCTCTTACTTGCATACGCTCAAACTGCATGGCCACTAGATGTAGGTTTAACTACCACCATTTTTGAAATTTCATGAAGGTTTTTGCCCGCTCATAGTTGTGTTGCCTGGGATTTGTTAATGGCTAAGAGAATTGATCCCATGTTGACAGCACGTTACAAACTCTTCTTCAAACTTTTTTCGGAGGTTTTTCTACTTAAAAGCCATGCTCATGGTCAGCTCATTCTAGTGGGAACAGACTCAGATCATGATGTGATTTCAGCAATATGGTACCCCTAAGATGGGTATTACTAACTAATATCATGCTTGGTGAGATGTTTATTACTACCGTTACTATCTTACAATCTTCCAAACACAATTGGAAGGGAACAATGTCCAATACATGTGGATCCAAGAGTTGTATGCTCTACGTCACAGCATCTGCAACATCACTTGCCATCAGAGGTCTTTCCTTGCACCTCCCCCATACCCACACCTTTTTTTTATACAGTTTGCTAGGACAATGGTGAAGCATAATTATTACCCCTACCTAACCCACTAGCAGCACGCTCCAATAATGCGTTATGACAGTCACTTAAAATAAATTATTTTACTTCATATTATTAGATTTCTTGATTAAAATGAAAAACACCACTCAATCATTTATTTCACTTATTTTTACAAGAAGGAAATTTTCTTAATTAAAAATAAAAGGCAAAACTTTAGTAGAGGTCCCTGATATATTGGCCAAACATCACTCGGGTCTTTAATATTTGGAAGTCATCACTGGGTTTCCCTAATGTTACATTCATCATCAAACTAGGTCCTTTTTACAAAATTAGTGAAACTCCAAGTTCAATACAAAGTTATAATTTTACTAAATTTTTTATCCATGTGGCAAGATAAACTTATAAGTTTACTAATGTTTTTGCACTGCCAAATCAGCAAAACTTAACAAAAGTTTGTAAAAGAAGATCTAGGATGATGACAAAGGTAACGTCAGGGCTCCCAGTGATGACTTCCAAACATTAAGGACCCAAATGATATTTGGTCGATACTTCAGGCACCTCCAATGAAGCCAAAATAAAAAGTATTTTCTTCTATCTCAATAATCTTTCTCTACTGACCTCCACGACATCCACATGATATTTAGACGTTAGCATTTCATTTCCTTATTATCATTGTGTTTATCTAAATACTCTCTAGTGTTCATTTCTCTTTTATTTATCTAAATGCTCAATATTCCTCAACTAGTCAATGCATTAGAGGATTTATTTCAAATGGGTTTCTTTGATTTTGAATGAATTTCATAGTGATTGAGAATCTGCAATGATGCTTGAATCGGAACAATTTGTAGGTCAAACATTTCTTAGTGAGGAAGAGACGTTTGTTTTCTAAGGAAATTATGGGACATGTCATGGTTTTGTTGTGCAGAAGGACCAATTCATCAAGAAAGATGGGAAGATTGTAAGCAAGGTTTAAATATCGGATATGTGGAAAATATCGGATGACCAAAATTCATATCTGATTGCAGATATCAGGGATATGTTATAAATATCAAAATGTCATAACAGATTTTGCATATATAATATAATGCACTAAAATGTTATCTTAACATACTTAACGACATTTAAGCATGCAAAATATATGTAATATATGTTTAGGATAATTACTAACCTTGTGAAAGAAAACAAAAGTAGAAATCAATGTTGCAACATTTCATCTGATTTTTTAGGCCATAATGTCATTTGATATAATGGGAAAGCCATGACATCTCGCTCAAAAATTACCAAATATGGTAAATTGTTTCGCGATAAGCCATATAAAAGGATATATCAGTCAACATATCGGTTGATATATCGGCCATATCACGAATATACCACCCAAAATAGCCAAAAAGCGGTAAAGAACATTTTGAGACCATATCTGTTGCGGCAAGTCATGTAAAAGGATATATCGTGGGATATATCGGGCCATGTCATGGATATTTAAAACAATGATTATAAGGCGATATTATTATTGTCATCATGCAGGATAACCACCTTTGAAAGTCATCGATCCATCCAAATATCAAAGGCACATATCATCCTCAAAATATGGTTGCAATGTTCTTTTGACATATTTCTAGAAGAATGGCATATGCTACAAAATTCATTGTCGATCACACTTATGAACTATTATCTCCCATAGAGATGTGTTTACTTACAACAATTAAGAGTCATCACTGATGAGGATAAAGCACACATCTATTGCTTAAAGAGAGGTCTTACTGCTTGACAAATAATTCGCGTCATGGAGCTTAAAAAATGTCAAACGCGGAGAATTTCCATTTAATCACAAAGACATCCACAATCATTTTGCAATGGTTAAGAAGCAATATGTGACAACTGGTGCGATGACTTTGTTGAAAAATTTCATGTGCGCTAAGGCAAAAAATTGTAAGTTCTAATATGAGTACACTATAGATGAAGAAAGAAAGTTAAAGATCATACTTGGATGTTTTGACTAGTATCAAAGATTAGGAAACGTTTGTGATATTACTTACAAAGTACATGCATATGACATGCCTTGTGCATTTTTTGTTGGTATTAACATCTATGGTAAGAACTTTTTATTTGAATGTGCTCTTCTTCGCAATGAAACAACAAAAGCGCTTTTAAATGGCTAATGGAGGTACCCTTTCCAATACATATAGCTGAAGGTTATTGACTATATTTTGTATTTGCCTAAAATTTTCATTTCTTTTAAATCGTAGACAATTGTGGCTTTGATGAAGAAGCACCCACAAACTATAATAACATACTATAATAACAAACCAAGATCCATGGATGACAAAAGCAATAACAACAAGGTTGCCTCTCGCTAAGCTTAGTTTTGGCACATGGAATATCACTTCAAAGTTTAGTAGTTGATTTATATATACGTTCTAATCCCTATCCACAGTGGTGTGCTGGTTCTATACCGTATATAAAAGCTAGGAACACAAGGTAATCGAGTATCATTGGCCATAGATACTTCAAAAGTATGACTTAAATGACAACAAACATGTGAGGTTTGAATCAAACCAAGCAATTTTGGGTGCCCGCCTATTTTCATGACTACTTTGAACGAATAACAATCATCGATCGATCTACAATTACAAATGCATATCAAGAGGCTTGTTTATTCCCACACGAGACCTAGACCTTGTTAAATAGGAGAGTAAATACATTTTTTGCTATTGTTTATTATTTAGTAAATAAATAAATACAAGTATAAATATAGTATATAAATAACATGACTTTAGGTCTTTAATTTATGTCTGAATTATTATTTTTAGGTTGAAGTTGCAATTAAGGAGACTGAACGAGCACAGTTACATGAGGCACTTGCAACATATTCTATTGAAATCAACGTCTATACTAGAGGAATAAACTTATCAAGTTCTCACTCTATCACTCTATTTGCTTTCAAAAAGTTCCAAGAAGAATTTAAACGAGCTGCTAGATATTTGGTATTTGATATGAATAGCTATCTTTTAAAATCCTACCAAAAGACCGAAGCTTGAACTCACAAGGTGCTTAGGATGAGGGAAGAGCCATATGTAGTTGTAACTTGTAAGGATTATGAGTTTTTGGGTAATACTTTGGCATCAACGTCTATACTAGAGGAATAAACTTATCAAGTTTCTTTAGACAAATTTTTTTGACATTCCACCACTGATATATTTCTTCTTGCATTGGTGTCGTTATGCACTTGAAAGAGATGTGGGATCACATGCATTAGAAGAAGAAAATGTAGCAGAACAAAGAACTAATTTGGAGGATTGTGGTGCTAATATGCAATGTTCCCTACATCAGCAACAAAGAAGCATCCGAAGAAGAAGCACGTGAAAGGTGGAAAGAGCTGGCAAAAAGACTTAGAATATACTATTGTATAGATCTAGGCATTATAGCAACTCTTGTCCAAATAAAGAAAATGTCATGTATATAGTAGCGCACCAAAAAAGAAGAAAGTGATTTCAAGTGATTTAGGTTTGAGCCTAGTTTTTCGTCTAAAAATATTAGGTAACGCACTAGAACTTTTTTCTGCACTTTTGTTGTGCATGTGTGTGCATGCATTATTCTATTTTTTAATACCTAAATTATTTTTTTCACTTCATCGAAAATATTTCGATGATATTTTTCGTTTAGTTAGTCAACTATACAGCTTTGCAAATGTTTTTCTTCATTCGTGTGTAAGTGAGCATATGGAGCAATAAGAGTTCTACCTTGCAAGATCTTATTGCTTTTTGAAAAACTATTACAGGTTGGTAACGAACACATTTCTATTTTTATGGAAAACAAGAGTTTTGCCTTTTTATTCCTTCCTTGTTATGGTTTTATATCTTTCTTTAGTCCTAATTTGTATAACCCAACAGTTTGGAAGAATATTATGTGTTGGTACCTTATTAGTGTTGAATACTAGTTATTAAGTTCAAAGTAGTTACATATGTTTAATAGTCATTGTTTATAGGGTTAATTGTGAAGAAACCCCCTATACTATCACCCAATTGCAAAGAGAACCCTATAGTTCAATTTGTTGCTAATAAACCCCTTGTAATTCTATTTATTGCAAATAGACCCGTTGAGTGAATTTTTTACTCTTAAAATCGTTAAAAATTTTTGAGGCAGATAAACCCCTTATACTTCTATTGGTGACAATAGACACCCAATTGCTACTTATTTTTTAACTTTTAAAAGAGTTGAAAAAGTTCACTAAGAAGGTGAATTCACACAAGGACCAATACTACTAGGGGTTTACTAACAGGTAGAACTACAGAAGGCCCCTTCGCAACAAATAGAACTACAATGGGTCTCTTTGCAATTAGGCTATACTCGCAATCTAGGTTGCATAGGTATGGGTACAGGTATGGACACGAGTATGGGTATGGGACACAGTAAATTTGTAAAAGTTAGGGTACGGGGACACAACTATATATATATTATAATTTATAATTTAAAAATCAAGAAATTATTTTAACTATTCCAAGTTTCTCCTTTTTATTTTAAGTTCTTTTATTGGATTCGAGACCATTCCCAAATTCACAACAAAGCAAAGCCTCTGGAACTCTGCCTTTCTTTTTCAAAAAGAATAAAGAAAGCCGAACTCAAATTATCTCAAGAAAAAAAAGAATAAAATAAGCCCAACTCAAATTTCTTCATGGCTATAAGGACCTATGTGACTTTCTCAAAGTAAGGACCCATGTGTTGCATCTCAATCGCTGCCATCATTACCAATAAAAGAAAAACCAAAATATATTCTTATGGTCAAACAAAGCCCATGTGAGATGATGTCAAACTCCACTTAGTGAATGAGAAATTAAGAGAACTAGAGAGAGTGAATTGTCATCATATTGGGTCTTTCTCTATCGTCAAGTCTCAATAGCCATGGAACCAGCCAATTAGGTCCCTCTCCTCAGCTTTTAAAAAAACTAATGAAAGCCACCCGTATCGATGTCGTTTGGGTGCGGACCCGTACCCATTACGGATCGGACACAGGTACGGCACCCTTGTTGCCGTGTCAGTGGTGTATAACCACCTCTAATTTGGGGTATGACAACTTAACTTTGGGTTACAATTGATTCTTTAAAATAAAATAGAAAAAGCTTCCCACAAAGGAAATACAACGTGAATGCCTCAATCTCGTAGAAGCCATGGAGGTCAGCAGAGAAAGATGATTGAGATAGAAGGGTGTAGGTTAATTTTAATGAAGAAGTTTTACTTGTAAAAACAAGTAAAAACTAAGATTGGGTGTTATCATTTTTAATCAAGAAATAAATCTCTTGTAAAATGAAGCAAAATAAATGATTATTTGACTGTCATGTCTCATTCTTGGAGCATGGTTCTGAAGGGGTTAGGTTAGGGTAATGGTAAGAGCAACTGTTTTGTATAATACATTGATCAACAAGAAAGTAAAAAATAAGAAAGTGAAAAACAAAGCACAGATCTGCAAGACACCTGAACGTGTATAATACAACGTGGAGAAGGGTTCGCATAGGTTTACGAGTCTAAATTAACATTGTTTAGGAAGCAATCCTTCTCTAATTGCCACTAAAAAATTAATATGCCAACATAGTAAAGTTGGAATATACACCTATTAGTGGTTAAGCTAGAAAATAGGAATCCGAACAAAGAACGGGGTATAGAACAACTGAAACTAATAACAGATGGGAGAAAATGTCGACATATGCTTGGATCCAAGTTTCAAGTTGCTTAAGAGGAAACCTTTCTGAACATTACAATCTGAACTAAACGTCTTTTTTTTCAGCTAAGCATATATGAAATGTTCTAAAATCCAGAACTAATGATTAGAAGTGGATATGATAAAGAAATAAGATAAAATGCACATTGAAATTGAAATGATCATTAGTGTGTGTGCCACGGTGTGTGCGTGTCTGCTAAATGCTACAGTTTTTTTGGGGAGACAAAATAAGTTTCTCTGCAATTCTGCATGCATGCATGTCTGGCTAAATGCTAGGGTTTTTTTTTTGCAAGAAAATAAGATTCAACTCAAAAACTATCATAGTATACTCTAAGATTTAGCAAAACATAACTTGTTTCACATAGATATTTATACAATAAAATTAGTAAATCTCATATATTTTGGATGCTTACCATTGACCATGATAATGAATATAGCATGCCAAAACGGCGGTATTTCTTTAGGAGGAAGAAGTGCAAGTGGATACAATAGGTCATTATTCTTGTACCACCAGTAAACTCCCAAAATATGGATCATGAAAACAAGTGTATACCCGGTAAGCACAGACAATTTTCTCTCCCCCTGTGAAGCAAAAGATTCAATATTCAAATAAAAGATTCCATATAAGAGAATAGTAGAATTGGAGTTCAGTACCCTAATACTTCATAGGAATTGCACATAAACACCTTTTCTTTTGTTCCATATAAATATCATTTAGTTATTTTCCACAGCTAGAATAAAGACTGTTAATAGTTTTGACATAAGTTCAAAATCCCTCTCATACGAACTCTATTCTCACGAAAAATTCCAGACCCCAAAACCCAACTTTTTTTGTTTGG